AATCCAGAAAGCTCATCCTGGGGCTATTTAACCAAACTTAAAAAAAAAAAAAAAAAACTAAAAAAAATTATAAAACACCCAGGAACCATTTTGGAAGCCACAGCGATCAGCACTTCTTTACCAATGAACTTGAGAATGACAGCTGAACTTATTAGATTGCTATTGATTATTATCCATACATATTCATACGCTAAATGCTTGACATTTCTATAGGAAAATTCATACAACGTTCAGGCCAAGCTTATATGGCCAGAGTAAATAAAGGCAGGATACATGCCAGACTCTACACTCCAGGGCTGGGATTAAAGTTCTACATCCAGTTCTATTTTCTATGCTCTGTACCTTTCCCACAAATTTACCACCACCCCATGAACTTTGTATGTCTCTTCCCTGCCCCTCAAACATTGCTACTAAATGTTGTTCAATTAGCTTACCTACCTTTTACTCCAGGCTTCCTCTCCCTCATTTAAATAAAATTGAAAGTTCTAACAGTTAATCTTGGATCTTTTGCAGTAGCACACAGGTCTTAGACCAGTACACCACTCCCCCACTAAATCCCTGCATACTAGCTCTAGAATAATCCAAACAATATATTATTTTGTCTGCCCCTATTTGTGTATTGAAGTAGAGGTAAGCACATGTTATCTAATCTTGGATCTCATCCTCTAAAAAAATCTTTTAAAGAAAATCATGAAAAAAAAAAAAGAAAATCATGTCCCCATGTTAAGGTTATAATATGCACCTTAGGCTATGTTCAGACATTTTTTCTTATATTTCTTCCAACACTCCAAGCTGCTTTATTTAGTGGACCAAGGTGCAACATATTTAAGGTGTTTTACCTGGTGCTAAATTGTTTTCCCTTAAAAACTGTATGAATTTATAAACCTAACTGAGTAAAAATGACCAGTTACACACTACATCCTCTGGTAAACACTAGAAAATCTTTTTATTTTTGCCCTGCATGTAAGGCAAGTCTTCTACTGCTGAGTTATATTCCCGAGCCTTAACACCTTTAATTCAGGGCCTCCCACATCTTAGGCAAGCACTCAACTGCTAAGGCAACTAGATCCCAAGCTGCGAACATTATTTGCTTTTTGTATCTTCATTTGAAATGCATGATCTCAAGCCATCTTTTCTTATTTCACTGGTCAGACCTCTTTTTCTCACATGGGCATTTTTATTTCCTTTTCTTCTAGGGTGCTTCTTGTTTCACATTGATCATACCACCAGTTTTTTTGTTAAGATCCCGGCTGGCTTTTCCTTTGCAACCTTTGGCTTTGTTATGCTCAGGGGAAATGATGTTAAACCAATTTTGTAAATTAGTTCCTCTATTATCTCTTTGTATGTTTTTAGGTTCTCCCAAATTCACAGAAATATTTTCTCAATGTTCATTACTGATGAGCCCATTTTTTCCTCAATGAGAAATGCTATTCTATAAATACAGGTATTCATAAGTTTAAGTGACTTGACTTTTAAGGGGCTCTCTTCCCAAGCCCAGGCTAGCCTGAAATTTGCATCAAACCTCCTGCTTTTGCTTTCCAGCCACTGAAATTACAGGCCCAAGCTGCCACACCCATTTGTAGGCCCTATCAGTGATAATTCTGGTTGTGCTTATAACAGTATAATGGTTCAATTATTATGGTTTAAGGGCATAAATGTTGCTCTAGAATATTATCTGTAAATGGATATAAAAGGTAGTTTATGTGTTATTATTTTAGCAGCAAAATACTGGGGATAACCTTACAGTGATTTGAGGAAAGGTGATACATTTGTAATGTGGAATATCATGTCAGATAAAGGAATGTCACTGTGAAAGAAATATGGAAAAAAGACACTCAACGACTATTTGTTAAACAAACATAGGTAATTAACAGTATCTATATTGAAACCATAGTCTGTACTTAATAAAAACCATAAAATATTCTTGTGTACATCTGTATACTTTAGATTGTAATTAGGTAATCTAGAAGGAAATGAAGAAAGCTGATAAGTAATTGACTGTAGAGAGAAGGGTTAGTGAGAAAAACACACACACACACCCCAAAACCCTGAGCCATACACATTATTCATGATTTTGTGATGTGCTCATCCGTGGATTTTACATGTATTTTCATTTCATTACCACTGCACACTGTGCGCTTCATAGGCACACTACTCAGATGGTTCCCAAAGGCCCAAGTCAAGAGCCTTTTCCTCTGCCAGGTTTCCCTACTTCCGAGCTCTCTGGCCCTTGCTTTGTCAGTCCCTATTGATCCACTTTCAGCCCCCAATCATTCTCTAAATTGCTCTCTTCTACCAGCGAAACGCTCTCCGCGGAAAGCTAGCTTTTACGAAGGAGAAAAATGAAGAGAATTATATAACTCCTTTAAAGATGTCGCTGTGAATAGACTGGGACACACCCCTTCCTTTCACTGCTTCATGCAATCCGACTCCAAATGCAGTTATCAATCCCGACAATTCACTGGCAGAAACCTTTAGTTAACTGTACATATGGGGACCACATTGTTTACACCATTTTTTCCCATCTCTTGGTCTCTGTGTAAAATCAGGCATATATAAATCTCATTTGGATCACAAAACATTTCTTATGCTTAAAACCATTTTTTTTTGGAGAAAGGGCCTCATCTCAAGTGCTCCAGGCTAGACTCAAACCCACTATAAAGCTGAGGGTAACTCTGAGCCTCTGAAATTCCTGCCTCCACCCCCCAAATATTTGATTGCGGGCATGTGCTCCCACAGTTGGCTTGTGCACAGCTGGGGAATCAAACGTGGAACTTCATGTATGCTAGGGAAGTACTCATTCCCAACCCAACAGATCATTTGCAGTCTGAACAAAAGAGGAAAATGATTAGCTGATGGATATGGTATCTAAAATTATAGTTCTGGAAAATTTCCTCAAAAGTAATTGTACTTAAAACTTTGATCAGATAAAGCCAGAAGTCTTAATTTCAGAATTCAGCTCTAGGAGTAAATTGCTGCTTCTGGAAAATGAGAGAAACAAAAATATTAATTAAAAAAATTCCATGAAAATTATATTCATGATTTCACAAAAATGTGTTCTTGTGTGCGTGTATAAAATATTTCATGACTACTAAAGCCAGAAGTATTATTCCATCAAATACTTGTAAGAGGACATTCTGGAACAAAGGAAGTTTCTTGTTCACAATTACACAGTAAGTGTATCCTCACCCTTTCAGAATTTAGAGCACTTTCTCAGATGGGAGCTTATTAATCTTCAAAATATTCCTAGCCATTTAGGAAGGTTATGTGATATGATCTTGTCTGTGAACTGAGGCCAGAAGGAAAGCACTTACCCTGTATTCTGCAAACAGGAATGGTTCTGCAACCAGGGTCAGATCTCCTGATCCTTATTGTGTAGCAAACTTAGCTTTTTTGATGATGACCTAGAAGGTCAAACAAAGAGATGGAAAAGAACAGAAAAGATGTGAGACGGTGATTTTCTTTTCCATCCGTCACTGCAATTTTATCTCACACAAAGAACATCAAAGCTGATAAATGCACAATTTTTATTCTCCTGTGGTTATATTTTCAAATGTACTTTATTGTTTCTTTATCAATTTTTGAAAAAAAATTAATAATTTCTCTTAAGGATAATGTGAAATAAATAAAACTGTAACGGAACACCATTGCAAATGGATGCGAATCCATCATCCAGCTTCAACAATTACCAACAGAAGGCCATCTTGTTTCATCTGTAACCCCACCCACTGCCCCCCCCATTTTTTTAAGCTACCGAAAAAATGACTTAAGAATTATGAAAAATTTCAAATATATACCAGGGGGAAAAGACAAATACAGGAAACCCCATCTGCCCACCCCTCAGCTTAAAAACGATTATTAATCGAAGGTTCCAGTTATACCCCTCCCATCTCTCTCCACCGCTGAAATTATTCTGAAGCAAATCCTAGTCATCCACGTATTCTCAAGCCATTTTCAGACATTATTTAATCTTTACGCAAATATATACAAATATACATAGATTTCCACAAAATAAAGCAATCTGAAAACATAACCACACTGCTACCAGAAACGTCTAAAAAAATCCGACACCCGATTTCATTAAAGAATATTAATTCCGCAATTAAAAATTCCCGATGAGTCTTAAAGAAAATTTTACAATTGGCGTGCTCGATCAGGTTTCAAACAAGGCCTACTCATCGCATGTGCTTCATACCTAGCTTGTTCTCATTCTCCTTCCCCTCCCTCCTTTCTCTCCCGCTTGCTCGCGCTCTCTCTCTCTCTTTTTTTTTTTTTGGTTTAATGTGGGAAAATTCCAATCCCCAGCTATTCTGAAGCGATTCTCGGCTAGCAAATTTTATCCATAAAATAATTTCTTCTTAAAAAAAGGATGCGCCGAAAAAGATAGCGAATCTGCGTAATTTATAATTTTCTTCGGCGTAGCAAATATCTATCTTTAATAACAACTGCTAATATCTTTCGAGAGACAGGCTTCACAATTAATGCCGAACATGCACTATTTTGCTGTGCACATTTGAGTGCACGGCTGAGATGGGTACTATTATCGCCGTTTCACAAACATGGAAACCGAGACACAGAAAGGAGCCTTGCCCGAGTTGGGCGTTGGCGAGCAGGAATACGAATCCAGCTTTGCCTGAATGTGAAGCCACTAGCTAATCCTGTCCAAAGACGCGGAGAAAAGAGGAAATCATCGACCCTTCCTCCCCACCCCCACCCCGAAACCTGAAGCGAGAATCCAGTTCTTTCCAGCAGCCGACGTGTGTTCACCGCTGCTGCTCCAACCGCCATAGTAAAGCCAGGTTTCTCTGGCAACTGATATCCATAGGCAGACACGTCACCTTGGGGGGCGGGCTTAGCCTTTCAGCCAATCACAGTCGTCTTGTCTCCGGTTTAGAATGTTCCATAACCAAATGATTGGCCCGCCACTCCCACGTCAGCAGTGACGCTCCGCCGCAGTAAAGGCGGGTGCTAGCAACCTGCTTCTTCATGGTTCGGGCCGAAATCAAACCAATTACCGTCCTTCTTCAGTGCCGATTCCAGCCAATGACAGTCGCCCTTTTAGGCTCTTAGCCCGCCCTCCAAATGCGCAGCAGCCGTTGGGTCAGAAGTCTATAGGGCAGCGTGTTCACGTGGCCTGTTTTCACGACCCAGAGTTCCCCTGACCGTGGGTTTTTTTTTCCCCCACCTCCTTTCCCTCGCTCTCTCCTTTTCTCCTGCAGGGAGGCATTATGGGTTTGTGTGTCCGTTCCCCTCCCCCGCCCCCGCACCACTGGGAAAGGAAGTGTCTACGTGGCTTGCGGAAATAGGATAGGCGGAAATGAGCTAAGGTTCCCGCGAGTGGGAAGAGCGAGGTCAAAGCGAGGGCCACGCCCCCGAGCCTGTTGCGCAACTCTCGGAACAGGAGGAAAAAAAGGAATAATGAAGGTTTTGATGTGTGTGTGTGTGTGTGTGTGTGTGTGTGTGTGTGTGTGTGTGAGGGTGGTGAGTGCCACAGGCGGATGGCGTGAGAACCTGGGTGTAGGTGCACGGGCACGCTCGCGTGGCCGTGGACTGTGGGTGTGGGCGCCTACCAGCCCTCGTGGCGCCGGAGGTGGTGGGTGTGCGCAGGCGTGCACTCCCTGCGGTGGCGGGAGGGGCCCGATTGTGTGTTGTAGGTGAGATGCTTTATATTGGTGGATTTCTGCTTTTTTATATTGGCAAACTGCATTAATGGAAAGGAAGATAATTAAGACTAAGTACTAGTAACATAAGGGCTTTTGTTAGAAAAGGCCTGCGATTTCATTTAAGTTATTTACTCCCCTCCCCCCCTTTTTTTTTCTTTGAGACCCGGTTCACTAAGGGTCTTGGCTGGTCTGGAACTCGTAGAGCCCCACCAGTCTCTTTTTTTTTTTTCCTCTCGAGTACCTGGGATTAAAAGCATGCGTCATTCCACCCAGTCTGATTTAATTTTAGACCATATAGATGCCCTTTATTCCCACGTTTTAGTTCACCAAAATGAACCCCTCTGGTTAAGATACAACACTATATTAGCTACTTAAAACGGCGCGTCTTTAAAATTTTCAAGTATACTCCCCTTCTCGCCATCACCGAGACCTCCCCTTTGCAGCTCACGCATTTTACTGCATAATCGGCAGAAATAATTTGCAACGCGAACATATGGAATTAAATTCCCCTCTGATAGAGATACCTCCAAAAGGTAGCTTCACCTACCTTTTGTCCTAGTCCCCAAGCAGCGCGATCCTCAGGCAAATAGGCTTTTGGTCAGTTTTCCAGAAAGTTCACTGGGTGAGGTTTATATCTCTTGAATCTGCCACTAGATGTCACCAAATCCAGCAAAGGATTTGCTGTTTGGTTCCCAGGGATGGTGAGATTTATTTCTTTTTGCCCCACCCACTTCTTATTTGATGAATTCAGTAACCTCTGGTTGTTTTACATATATCATAAATCCCCAAAGAAGAATGAAGTCAAGTTTTCTAAAGTAACAACACTAGGCAAAGAATTATATATCCAGATATTTTTGTTATTTCCTTTCCTTACAAAGAAAAAAGTCATCTGTTCTTCCAGATTTTCTTTCTCCCTTGTATTTTTTTTTAACTCAGAGTTGATAGGAGCCTAAACACTGGTGCTAAAGTCCTCCGTGGGCTCTGGTGGTGCATCTGTTAACAACCCTCAGGAGGTAGAAGGACCCCAAGTTGAAAACCAGTTTAGATTATATGTTGAGATCCTGTCTCTATATTAAAAAAAATGCCTAATGAAAGAATATCCTTTTTGGGTTTTTGCCCACTTCATTTTCAAATACTGACTGTTCCTCCCAGTGGTAATTGCAGACGACTATAGTCAGTCTGTAAAGATAACCCAGAGATAAAGTTAGACCTCCGTATTGAAAATTATTGTCCTTTCCTCTTGAAATTTTTAACAGATACGCGTGTTTGCTCCCTAATTTAATGCGATGTCTCCGTGTTGCTGACAATAAGGTAGGTATGCTTAGTCGGCTTAAGAAAGTTCTATTTTCTTATGAGGAGGGCCATCACACAAAGTTCACACTCTTAAGTTCCTAATTATACTCTTAAGCCTTTCTCCCCAAGGTTGCTCACCTGTGCCGTGTATCTTTGAAGATCAGGTCCAGTCTCTAACAGAAGTCTCTGATTAGAGGGACAGGATCCCGGGGAGACGCTCCAGCCAAAGGCTAGATCAAGGTGCTGTCTCCAGGTGCACAGAGGAAGAACAGTGCTCGTGGTCTCTTTTTATAGACTGCTCAGAGGGCGTCAGAGGATTCTAGTCTTGTGTCTGGTTATCTTGAAAGTGATGTCACTGGGTTCTGGTTATCAGGTATAGCCTTGGGTGTAGTGGACTTCCTGACGAAGCTCTTTTTGTGTGTCTAAAAGGCGTTTTTTTTTCCTATGCTCATTGCATTTTGCATAACTTGATTCTGTCTTTAAAAATCAAATAGTAGATAGTGAAACATATTTCACACTTAATTGCTCTATGTTTCAGGGCAACTGATGAGGTAGCCCTGTGGGTTTTTTTTTTTGTTCTTTTTTTCTTTTGCTTTCTGTGTGTATGCACATGTGTGTAGGAGTGTTTGAGCATATGCATGTTGGGGCTAAAGGTAATCTTCATTTTAGGTCTCTTCCTCTGTTTCTGTCCACCTTATATTTTAAGAGGCAGGGTCTCTCAGTGAACTTAGGCTGTTCTACATGGGCTTTGTCGGTGAACTCCTGGGATCTGCCTGACTCTACCAGTAGTCCCCTTAAAACACTGGGCTTCCAGATATGTGCCCCATGTTAGCTTTTACGTAGGTGCTAGGGAATTGAACTGAGGTCCTCTTGCTTGAGCAACAGACACACTTTACCCCCTGAGACATCTCCCCAGCCAGACCCTCAATTTTTAAATATTTTCTGTATTTTAGATGTTGAAGTAAATGCTTTTTTCTTAACAAAATTGTATACCATTTTCAACCAGCAAATATCAGCTTCACTTATCAATGATATGTTTTAGTGCACATGTTGGTGAAGGCTTTTTTTTAGGATTTTAATTTCATTGTTTTTAATTATGTGTAGGTGTATATATCTACATATGGGTATGTGACATGAGTTCAGAGGTCAGAGGCTTTGGATCCCCTGGAGCTGGAATTGCAGACTGTTCTGAGACACCTGGCATGCGTGACGGGAACCTAACTCGGGTCTTCCGGAAGAACAGCGAGTGGACCTCCTTGCTGAGCCCTCTCTTCAGCCACAATGGTGAAAGGTTTTTACAGCAGCCTGCAGCTATATTTCCCAGGCCGACTGGAAGCATCAGTATCACCTGGTAAGTGGTCAGAAAATTAGACTCGTAGGCTCAACCTCAAATCTCATAAACCAAAGATTCTCTGGATGGAGTATGAAAATCCATGCCACTACAAATTGTTCCACTGAATCCAAGGCTCTCTAAAATTTAAGAACCACGGCTTTGTAGGGCAAAAATGCATTCCTTACATCTGTACACCACGAGAGGGCGCCATAGAATGCAAAGCAGAATCAAAAAGACCTCTGTTTGGACATACCCTGCATAGTATCAGTCTTGTTTTGCAGATTAAGGAATGTAGAAGTGTCACCATAAGTGTTTATCTTTCAGAGTCTGAAGCAATCTTTGCATTACAGATTGTTCTCTGCTTTGACTATGTTGACTGAACCATTAAGAAGATAGTAGAAAAGCAAACTAAGTATGTGGAAATGAATAGCTTGATGATTTTCATGTCTTTCCTCCTCTCCCTTCTATAATATAACACAAAAGTCTAGGAGTAGTCTCCTTGCTATTCTTATTTCTCAATGTTCTTTCTGTTCTGTAGTTACCCGTTTTAGCGTGCGTCATAATATTCTATATATATAATAAAGGCCTGAGGGTGGTGAGTAAAACAGAAATTTGAAAACCCAATACAGTGGGTCACCCTCTGTATTTCCCTATACACAGAAGTCCCAATAGTAAGCTTATAACTTAGGTGAAACTTAACATCTTTTTATAGTGATAAGAGTGAGTTCTGGGGTCCAGTTGCTTTCATTCATCATATAATTTACAGGTGATAAAATCTGAATAATTCCTGCATTTGTAATTCTAATATTCAGTTAAGCTTTCTAGTTCTCTGGTTTAGTTTCTATTTAAGTGATTTTCCTTCTTTCTTATTTGTGAGACATTGATACTTTTTGACCCAAGAGAAAATGTAGAGAAGTATCTCTCTTATGTTTTGGCCAGGTTTGATCTGACCCCAGATACGCACTCTCTGGGCCCCCTCCTCTCAGCCCTCCAATGGTAGGATTTTGGCTCATCCAAGCACTTTTTAGAACCAGTTGAAGGAATCTGACATTGAGTGAGGCTGACCAAGTATTATGACACACCACACTGGGGTGCTTTGTAGAATAACAGTGTATTCAAGACCAGAAGTGTTTCAGACTTCAAAGTTAGTCAAATTTAAGTGATTTAAAATAAACAAGTTCTAGATTTTATAAGTTTTAGTGTCATACCACCTATTAATGGAAACAAACATTTTGATTTCGTGATCTTAGAGCCACCTTGTATAATACAGTATCCAAGTAGCATATGTGACTATTAAAGTCACAATTCATTAGACCACAAAAATGATCGGTTCAGTTGGTTGCTCTGACTGTATTCCAGAGGTGGCTACATAGTGTTACTAGCTGTCGTGTAAAATGGAATGTAGACCATTTCCACTGTCACAGCATGCTCTGCCGCACAGTGCTGGTGTAGATGACGGAAGGGATGGAAAAGGGCCTAGTATCTATAGTACATGCCTCTTGACAGCTGTCCTCCAACGGTGATTTTTTCCCCTGCTCTTCTCAGGATTAGAACTGGGGTGTTCCATCGTGTTGACAGGGTCAGGAGAGGGAAGTAAGGTAGCTGAGGTACTTTAACAAGGGATATCCTGGCGCTAGACCCTGTATTTGTGGCTGCTGTTGCAGTTTTCTCGTACGTCTGTCCTTGTGCTTTCCTGGGTAGGGTTGCAAGAGCAAGACCATGAATAATGTGAACTAGTTTTAGAATCAGAGTTGTAGCAAAAAAAATGGCCTAGAAACAATGTTTTCTGTATTCCAGGTAGCACAGGACTCAGCTCTTTCCAGCTGTTATCTTAGCAAATCCTCACGGAAGCCTGGAGAAGTTAAACAGTCACCTAAAGTTGCTCAACCAGTAAATTGCAGAGCAAGACCAGACTTGTTCCTGGCTTCAAAGCCCAGGCTTTTTCGTGTTAGTCTGTGTTACCCCCTCAATGTGACCATTCCCCTGCACCCTTAACATTTTAGTGGGATAGAGCCTCAAGTAGATTCCTCACCTAGAGTCGGTTCTCAGAAAATGGGAACCTTTCTTTAGAACTTACAGCTGCACCATTGTCTTTGCATGATTTCAACTCGAAGAGAAAGATAGCTTAATTTTATTTGGTTCCTAGGCCCAAGGCCAGACAGAAAGTATTTAAGGTCTCAGCCCTCACAGTATATTCATTGGCTCCGTGAACCCTGTATTAATTTGCAAGATCAACGTTAGCTCATATAATGCCTTTGTGGTAATCAGAAGTATAGGCCACCGAAGGGCAGGCAAATTGCAGAGATACGGGCACTCCAGTGGAACGGCGAGAAAGTGCCTCTTTCCTTGCTCTTCCTGACCGCTGCAACCTCACCAAGGTAGTTAGTTGAAAAAGACATTCCAGCCGGGAATTTTGTCCTCTTAGTTGAGTACCATTAAGCATGTAACCTGCCTGCTGTTGTATGTAGTCCTTGCTTGTAGTACCTTGTGAATAACAAAACCATCCTTGGTTCAAAAAGTAGTGATCCATTATGGTCAGACTGTTCTTTTTTCTATCCCCAGTGGCCTCCCATGTCTCATACGTAGTAAACAAAATTGCTCTATCCTAAGCTTTATTTGATATCATATATAATTTTATTTTTTGTATGTACGCTTCATCTACATGCATGTGTGTGCACTGTATATGTGCCTGGTACCTCTGGAGGCCAGAAGAGGGCATTGGATCCCTTGGGACTGGTAGTACATACAGTTGTAAGCCAATATATGGGTGCACCAGCCCTAACTCAGAACCAAACTTTAAAAATATCAAGGAGAAGCTGGAGAAATGGCTCAACATTTAAGAGCACTCACTGCTCTTAGAGAAGACTAGGGTTCAGTTCCCAGCACTCATCTGGTGGCTCAGAACCATCTATAACTCCAATTCCAGGGGGCATGACACTTTTTTTTAACCCCTGTGAACACCAGGCACACATGTGATGTACTTACTTATATGCAGACAAAACACCCATGCAATACAATTAAATAAGTCTTAAAGTGTTTAAAAATTGGTTCTGATTATCTTATTTAATATTTCCTAAAACAATGATTGTTTAATATACAAGTTAAAACCAAATCCTAATATTTCAAGGCAAAGCAAAAATTGCATTTCTACGATAAAGATGTCTTTCTATTTATATCACCTCGTTTCATAGGAATTTCAAAAGGCCATTCCTGCGAATTTCTCTGAATCAGTCTAGTTTGTTAGTCCATGACAGAGCAAATGGAAATAGTGTGGGGGGAAAATTGTCCTTTTAGTGATATCTGTTTTCTCTTCTGTAATTAAACTACCACCTCATGGCTGGCTCCATTTGACGTAAAAAAGCTTATTTCAAATGACCAAACCATTGAGAATTGAACCTAGTCAGCGATGACCTTAGATGACCTTGAGATGCCAGAGTTGCACATGATCCCTTGTTTTTCTCCTTCTGAGTTAATCGTTTAGCTTGGAGCGTGCCAAAATTCATGGTTCTGTCAGTAGCACTCTTTACTTGGAAGGATCACTTTAAGCCACCCATGGTATACATTAACTCAGAAAGATAAAGACTGCTTTTCGCCCATGATTGCTTCTGTCTGTAGTTTGAACTTTGCATCAAGTGGTTGCTTTGAATCATTTTTCTCTAGCTAAGTTTATGTTTTTAATTTCCTCAGAGTCTACATTTGACTAGAAGTGATAAAATTTATGACTTTTGAAACTATTAACTGCCATATTTAAAAGTACATGTCTGAACTGTTTAATGGTAGATGTAGGGTTGCTTGCACTATTTCCCTACTTTTGTGTAGTGCTGAATGTTTCCTTAATAATTCTTTAAAGAAGAAAAAATTGAAAAATACTTCATCAGTCATGGGTTAGAGTACAAACATGGGTTTCTCTTTAGCCAAGACATTGAGTATAATTTATACTTTTTAGTAGAGATGGATCATATCAAATTTAGGGAAAGAATCCAATGAAAAACTAAAACAAAACCTCTTTACTACAACTTGATAAGGTCTCCTGAATGTACAGTCCCGACCACCAGACACCATAGGAAGCCTTGCTGTAATGAGCTACATAAGTGGCCACTTCCAATCCCTCAGGCAATTAGGACCAGAGAGAGGTTGAAAGCCACAGAATGAACCATCCACTCACTGGTGAAACTATTAGCCAGAAGGCAGAAGAACACAGGAATGGAAGCTAGAGGCAAGAGAGAGCCTCGATGAGTGCTGCAGAAGGCAGCGCTGCTATGGAAACAGGAGACAAGATGGTGGAATATGTGGCAGAGTTCGTCTTATCTCTTTGGGGAAGTTGCCTTTCCTACCTTATTTCTGGTTTTGAGGAGCAGGGAGACCATCTGAAAGCAAAATATATGATCATGCACATGTGAGTGAAAATGTAAGCATTTAAAGAAAAGGTGTCTTTCCGCCCTGCTTAGAATGACAGGTTCGACAAACTATACATTGAAACAGTGCTTTTGATCTATTTGTGGCAGTGTTTTACCATATGGGGAAGCAAATGAGACTGTTTATACACTACTGTGACAGAGTAGATAGGGCTTAGGGTGTGGGGGCCCTCGGAGGACATGTTCCTTCAAGGCCCTGAGATTGAGGTAAAATGATTGGTAACAGAACAGAGAAGAGAGTAGGAGCAGCTCCTAAAAGGTACAAAGCTGAGGTATACCCAGCTGCTCCCAGCCTAGCGTTCTTGGTGGGACGTCAGTGGGACCCAGGAGGCTATAGCCAGCTTTCAATAAAGCTGGTCTGTGAAAGCTGGCTAAGAGGACAGAGGAAAATTGATGTTTGCTCCAGAGTGGGGCTGTCAGCTGTGCTCACCGCCTCCCCAGGCTCCCAGCTGTAAACAAAAGTCCTGGCCCTTCATGGCACTGCAGAGCAGTCCAGGCTGGCGTAAGTCTCTGAGGACAGCTAGACCATTTTCTCATCCTGGCTGACAACCAGGAGACAGAAGAAACAATAGAAGGTAGAGAGGGGGAAGGGGCGGAATGCAA